ATAGTGGTTTCAGTTTGATTTTCGGTCACTAAATATAACAACCGTTAAAAGGCTTCTAAGCTGGGTAAAAAGACAGTTTTACCCTTTATATAATCAATTTTTATTTTTTCTATTTTAATTAATTATTTTCCGTATTTTATTTATCTTTAACAGAAACCATGTCCACTCCACCTCATCTGTATCATCCTCAGACAATCGATAGTCATCTCCTCTCATGCCGATAAACGCCCACATCCCCAACCTTTGTGACCATTGATACACAACATTCCAAATCTTTTAAATATTTGTGTGGTAAAGGAAAAAAATATATTAAACCATTACATAACCACAATATAAAGGAACTACTATCTTCAAATTTATTAAGTACAACTGTTTTCTTATTATAGAAATGTCACACCTTTCATCTATCTTTATAAATAGTACAAGTACTCCTTGCAATGCAGAGGTCTAATGAAACCAACAACATTTTTTAAAACATACCTCTAAGCCTAGACTATCCTAAACGATCTTCATCTTTGACTTGAATATAAAAACCATGACATGTTTTGGTTGGAAGATCAACAAAATATCAAGCTATGACTAGTCAAACATCCTCTCCTTCAACCACCATTGTCGTAAAAAAAGGAGATGTGTTATGATCCTGCTTTTTCCCCAACTTCAACTACATCTTAAGGATTTGTAAAGATGTCAAAAGGTGAGTTATTAAACCCACAAAGTTGTAAGTAAATAGTGAAGAAAAAATGTAAATGAAGATATCATAAGACCATGGATAGAAGATCTACATGATCTGATCAAAAGGGTAAGTTGAAGACGTCAGCTGGCGACTTACAAAGAAACTTTCAAGCTCACAAATGGAACATTCTCTTCTCAATATAATTCAAGTCCATCAATCCATGCTTGGTATTAATCCGTTGTAGCTTACAAATGACACACTATGAGCAAAAAGATCTTTGTGAAGAATGGTTGCAAGTCCAATATCTGTCATTTTCGTCATTTTCACATCTCCTGAGGTGCTTCAACAACTTTTGGATGTTAACTTTTTTTTTTTGTTATTTAATGAAACAGGTGGCTAGTCATCTGGTAGCAGGCAGGGATGACATGAGTGCTTTGGAATCTTCTAAACCCAATCCTGTTGGTTTCCATGATCAGGATGACACAATGTGTTTTTGAAGCATCTAAAAACAGTCAAATAATCAAAATTAGGTATGCAACTCTTGCTTTGAATTTTGGCACCATTAAATCCTATTCAAAAGTAATGAACAAAATGTCTAGTGAATCTAATTTTTCTCAAATAAATCACTTGTCAAAGGTCTTATCTAATTCAATGACAAATCCAATCATAAACTCCATTTACAATTTTCTCATTCGCACCTAAAACCCTAGAAGAATCATTTGATATTATATGCATAGATCTTAAACAACGAACCATCCTCTTTGTTCCAAAAATCACTTCAATCAACTTTCTTTTAGATGGGCCTTTGTTGTTGAATTGGAAACTTATGAAGAGGGTATAATAGTAAATTGATAAATATAAGGATTTAAAAAGATTACAAAATTAAAGAAAAAAATGTTTAAAATAAAATTTGGGCAAATATGATATTTTAATGTTTATGTAGGGTAAATATGATATTTTGATTTTTTTGTTGGGTAGATATGATATTTCAATGTTTAACGAGGGTATATACGCCTGGTCTTTGTTTCAACCTTCTCTTATACTACCTGACAATTCGAGATACGAATACACGAATTCGCGAGTGACACAACATGACACAAATACATCTTGAAAAGGAAGATAAAACTTATTTCTCTTCGTGTATTCGTGTCATGTCACATTCATGGCTGACACATGAATTACACGAATACACAAATTGCCACTTGTGGCCACAGGTGCTGTTAAATGGCCACTGACTATGTATTTTGATCATTTTAGCTAGCCATTAAGGTCAATCCCCAAATATAAACATTTTATTTTATTTTATTTTTATTTTTTTTATTTTTTATTTTTTCAAATACAAGGTTAACTGGTTAAGGCTATATATGCCATTTCGCTTGTGTCTCATTTTCATTCTCAGACAAAACCTTGTTTGTTTTTAAACTAAATCCTCATCGACAAAAAAGAAAAAAAAAAAACCGTGACAGATTACGTTTGGTGATCTTCGTATTTTCTGCATTGGACTATTGGAGTATTGATTTATCTTCAATTCAGTACATTCTCACCTTCTTTGCTCATTTATTTCATGTTTTGTACCTTCACTTTTATTCTAATTTGCTTTTGAAGTTAGCATTTTTTTTTTAAAAAAAAATTCTTCATCAAATTTCCTTTTATGTTCTGCATGTGAAAATCCTATCTACTGACCGGATATCGTTTCAAGTTTCTATTTCATGTGTGACTGTGACCGATGTCAATAAAACAAAAATTGCAATTTTTTCTCACAGAAAAAAGTGGAACAAGATGAGATAGGATCTCATTTCCAATTTTTTGTCTGCACAAAAAGACGTGAAGGCTCTCTCTCTTTCATCCAAATCATACAAAATAGCCCTACAGACCTTGAACAGTTCAGTCCAATCCAGTCTAACAAACACAGCCCAATGCATTCAACTCATCACCAAATGACTTAAGAAACAACAAAAAGATAAAATCTCTACCATTTTAAAAACTAACAAACATGTTTATAGTCAACTCATGGAGTACAAATTATCTTCTGATTTAAGCCTCTCTACGAACAAAGTAGAGCTTACCCATGACATGAAGAACAGCAACAAAAGCAATGAACCCAATGCTCATCACAAGAACAACATTTGGAGATATCTTCAATCCAGGTGCATCATCTGTGTAAAACTGGAGCATGTTTCCAGCTGTGCCGCCTGCTGCCGCCCCAGTGCCGCCTGTCCTCCTCCTTCGCAAGTTGGCCGCAGTGGCTGCTGCACTTCCTCGTGGTGGAGCTGCTCCGTTCAAAGCCATTTTTGAACTTGAAAGTTGAGAACTGTTGACAATCAAATGAAAGGGTAAATGCAAGAAAAAACAATGCAGTTTGATAAATTGCCCATAAGTTTATTATTAAAATTTTCAATTTTGTTGAAAGATATAGGAAATTCGAAAAGGAAACCTTGAAAATTCGGATCCACAATGGACAAATCGATCTTAAAAGATTGAAATGAAGTTTCCATATGATCTATCTACCAAAATTTTCCCTTTGTTTCCAGAAATTAAACTATTTAGTTTGATTTTTTGTTGATTTCAAGCAAATCCGGGAATCTAGCTACAAATTTATGATAAAACTGCATTTAATCAAATTCATATCGGTAAAGAATCTCTAAATGACGAAAAGAAAAATGAAAAAGTAGACCGGGGAATCAGATCCGAAGCATCTCAAGTAAATCACAAAGATATACAGTTAACTCTGCATCATTACATAATGATTTGTGTATCCAGATACAAATCTAATCGGAAACAGATCTAAATTTTGCACTGAGTAAAAGAATTGGTACGAATTGCGATCAACGGAAAAGCTAGAACATGATTATGCCGCTTACAAAGAAAACAATAATCCAAATCGACGGAAAGTAGGAAACGATGAACCGAACCTTTAGGGCGGAGAAGATCTGAAGATGCTAAGGTGATAGCTATTCGAGTCTCCCTCGCGTTAGAAGATCGGAGTTCTTGTAGTAATGTAAACACCCTTTGTTTCTGTGGACTTTCTTTAAGCAAACGTGAATTTATTTGGATTTGAATTTGGAACTATTACTTTTATTTTGCCCTAATACTCAAAAATAGAAAACCCCCCTATTTTGACTTGTAAATTGTAAGAAAGTTATTTATTTCATAAGACAATATTCAAAAATGGTCCACATGGTTTCTAAAAAAATCGAATTTAGTCCTTAACTTCTTAGATTATCAACATTGGTTCCCATGGTTTCAAAACTTTTAATGTTCAGTCATTTTGTTAGTTCTTTGTTGTTAAGTCATTTGACTTGTAGGCACTGATGGTCTTTCCCATCGCCTTTTGCATGTTGGAGATGCAGTCCAACTTGTTCGCATAGATTTCTTTGCATCCCGGAGGACTTATGTGAAGATCACATAGTTCATGTAGCGTGAAATGGTGGAGATGTTAAGCATAATTTCCTCTTTTGCATCGTAGTGTTAAATGATCTTATGTTGCATTAATGTCAATGCTTTTTGGGTGATTTGGAGTTGGCGAAGCAGGGTGTTGAGCATTCTCCATTTCTTCAGAATTCATATTTGTTGTAGAGTGTAGATGGGAGGGGGAATGATCAGTATATAAGGGGTTTGGATGATGTGGTTCTAATGGGTGGTTGATATGGTGGTGGTGTTGTATTTATGAAACATTAATTGGGGTTATTTGTGATCTTCTCTTTTTTAGCTATAATTGATCAAAACTGATTTTGCTTATTAAGAAAGGATGCATGCATGGAAATGAAAAAATGGGTGATGATTGCATGCATTCAATTTATGTAGTGGTTATCTATTTAGTGATTATGTTATTTGACAAATGACGGTTTATATGTGTTGTAGGAAGCTGTAAGGGCAGTGATTATTAGTGTTTAATGGTTAGTGCCTACTAGTGTTTAATTCTTAGTGGCGAGGAGTGTTTAATGCAATAAAATCTTTTACAAGTGGTGTTATTTATTAGCGCATAAATATAATCTGTTACGTTAGTTGTTAGTTGTTTGGATAAGGCATACCCGAACGGTTGGTTAAACGTTTGAACTTGCAGAGCATAGGTCCGGGTTTGAACTCCGACCTATGCTTTTTTTTTTTGGTGACGTCTGGTGGCGGAGGGTGGGTGCAGTCCAGTGACAGATAGTGGTGGTTTTCGAGTATAGTGAAGAGGAGGAGGTGCTAGTGGGTAGTGTGGAGGGTGGGGTTAATGGGGTTATTTTTCTGTTTTTTTATAAAATATACAACTTCAAGAATGGTCTCTGAGGTATGGAAAATATCATTTTACACTCACATTAGTTAGGCTTAACAGAAAAGAAGTGACGAAATGACCATTCATTAAAAATTTTGAAACCACAGGAGCCAACATTGATGACCTAAAAAGTTAATGACTAAAATCGATTTTTTGGAAACCACACGGACCATTTTTTAAGATTTTTCATTTCATAATTAAATTAAGACAAAACTGCAAAAATGGTCAATGTGGTATGCATTTTTTTTCGGGTTTTGATCCAAACCCCAACTTTTTTAGACTGGTGGTCCTTTTGACCATGTTTGTATGTTGTTTTAGTCCCTTCGAAAACTGAAATTACTGTAATACCCTTGTGAATTTATTTTATATTTTTCTTTCATTCTTTATCCATCTAAATAATCAAAAAATAATAGAAGACCCACCTCTCTCTCTCTCTCTCACACACACACATGCTAGTCACATCTTTCTCTCTCTAGTTACGTCTGCAACAAATAACTCAAACTTAGTTTACAAAGGAATAGCCAACTCTGACAACCCCTTCCAAGACGATTGTCGACGTTTTCCTTGTGTGTATCTGACCATGTAACACCAAACATACATCACAAAATTTTCCAATTTCAACATCAACTAGCAAAATGTTGATCTGAGAAATGAAGACGATGGAAACGAAATTGAAGAAGACCTTATTAGTTTATTAGGCTTTAGGGTTCTCTAGATTTAAGTATTCGGTTTCAGATTTGGGTTAATCGGAAATCTCTGATCAGTAACCCATGTCCTCCGGACCGAACTGTTCCAATATTCCAGATTTATGTTTATGATGGAGTTAGGGATGTCAAAAATTCCCGTGGGAGCCCCGTCCCGTTTGGGGGAATTTTTTTAAAACAATCGGGGGCGGGGGCAAGGTTAACCCCCGTTTTAATTTCGGGGGCGGGGGCGGGGGTAGGCAATCCCGTCCCAAAACCCCCATGGGGACCCCGTTAATGAATTACACATATATTTACATATATTAATTATATAAATATAATAAACAATAACATGATTTTGAGATTCTAAAATTCATCAAAAAATATGTTTTTAAGTTGTTAGTATAATGTTATTAAGATGCCATAACTTTTTTTATTTTTAACATGTAAAATTCTGCTATAAATAATTATTTGTTACATAAAAATAACTTCTTTTAGCCTAAATAACAACTTTTTTAGCCCAAAAAAAGACAACTCAAAATCAATCGGGGGCGGGGG